TCTCTCTCTCTCTCTCTCTCTCTCTCTCTCTCTCTCTGATCAGATCATCGAGTGTCGCCATGACACCCGATGATCTGATCATCCGACGTCATGGGGCAAAAAAAACACTGCAAAATGTGGGGTTTTTTTTTACGTTCAATGTCGCGAATTTATGAAAAATCTGTCAGTTTTAACGAAATATCTCTCTCTCTCTCTCTCTCTCTCACTGACTGATTGGATCATCGAGTGTCTCCATGACACCCGATGATCTGATCATCCTACATCATGGGGCAAAAAATCACTGCAAAATGTAGTTTTTTCGTATGTTCAATTTCGCGATTTTCAGAAAAAATCTGTCAGTTTTAACGAAATGTCTGCTCTTCTCTCTCTCTCTCTTACCGTAATCATCGCATGCGTCATGAACACTTCTGATTTCATGAGATCACATGTTAATAACAAGCAATTCCATTGTCATGTGCAGTGGAATAGAGATCACATCTCAAAGGCGTTCGCTGCAGTATACACGGATGGACTATTCAATTAGCGACGCATACTCTGTCCGAGGTCGAAGAAGATGCCTTGCGCCACTTGAGAACAAAGTTCAACAATTACCAAATATTGTCAAGCACGAAGAATCCAGGAACGCAAGAGGAGTTAAGATTCACGTTCCAGGACTTCAGTGTGCTAATGAATGACACACGATGGTTAACAGATGATATTATAAATTTCTACATGAACATGATAACGGTAGATAATATATGTAGAACTACACATCATGAGTGCGATACGCCATCAAACACGTCCGCTGCAGACACCTGAGGATTGATTCCAAAAACATCAATATGCAACTTTTTTTTTCTGGTTAAGCTCATGGATGACAAGTTTGGATATCACTATGCTAGAGTAGGCAAGTGGTTCAAGGAAGTAGTGATCGTGAAGAAAGACTTGATCTTAGTCCTGTATCACAACATTCATAAGAGGCATTGGACACTTGTTGTGATAGATCTCAGACGAAGAGTGATCCAGTATTACGACTCAATGGACACAGACATAGACGTTGCCAAAAAGGTGGTCGCCAACGTGGCACGGTATGTGAGGGACAGGTCATTAGAACAGGGAAAGGAAGTGGACACCAATCGCTTCAAAAAGAAATTGCGGGTCAGCGGCATTCCAAAATAGAAAGACATAAATCAATGCGGGGTGTTTATGTTTGCGTATGCGTCTCTTTTGGCGAAAGGTCACTTGCCACTGTTCCAGTTCAGCATGGATGATATAAAGCGTATCAGACACCGAATTGCATTGGACTGTGTAGCATCAAGGTAAGAGAACTTTTCGTTTTTACAATTGTATCTATGTAAATGTAGATCGAATCACGTGGTACAGGGTGTTACTTCAACAGAGCAATTTGGTTAGGAATCAGACTGACCATTTGAGACCGGTAGCGATAGTTTCTAGTTCTGGACTCGTTTTTCAATATGTCAAACTGTAGAACCATTGAATAGGAGGGTAGAGAGACTCAGACGCTACAGCCAACAACAGCAGAAAGTCTTGAGTCATTTTCCAATCAGGTACCTGATTATCAGCGATAATTCCGCCAATGCCATTCATCCATTCACATACGCTCGTGATAATTCCGCAGATGTCATTGAACAAGGTCGAAATTCTGAATTTGCCAATTCATATATTTTCTCACTATTTGCTTGGCATCAAGAAAACCAGCAGTGCCATGAAGTGACAGTGCCATGAAGTGTGTCTTTCCCTTTTCTGGTTAAAGGCCAAATAAACAGAAAAAATATAAAATGAAACTTCATCATAGGACCACACCGTATATCATGTAAGACATGTGAGCAATGAATCATGACATACGATATAGAATATTATATTATATGGTGCATTTATTTATGATCTATGACTTGCAACCCTTGCGGTCCATAATCTAACGTATGTGATGAATGTCTAAATGACACATGATCATATGGTCTATGTTCCTATCATTTATGATATATAACCGTGGTCTAGATCTCTTTGACCCAGAAGTTATGATGTATGAAATATGATGTACATGTCAGATCTATGGTCTATGATGTATGATACATGGTCTATGATGTATGATGTATGAGCTATGGTCTATGTATGTGATGTATGATGTATGGTCCATGATGTATGATGTGTGATCTATGATGTATGATGTATGATGTATGATGTATGATATATGATCTATGATGTGTGATGTATGGTTTATGATCAATGATGTATGATATATGACCTATGATCTATATTGTATGTTCCACAACCCATGCGACACCCGCTTTTCCACCATAAAACACAAGAAATTTAAAGGTGTCCAATTTTGTGTTTTTAGAAAAAAATATCAGTTTTAACGAAATGTCAGTTTTGGCTGCCCGGCGTTCCGCCTGGTCCTCGATACCCTGTTGCTTTCGGATATATGAAACTTGTTCCCCGATCTCCTTCACGTCCTTATAGTCCAGGGACTCAAGTTGTTCCTTGGTGTTACGGATGTAACGTTCTCTCGCCTCAGGACCTGCTTCCGGTAAGATCTCCTTGGTGATATTACGAGGCACCAAAGGCAGACGCGGTCTACCTCTCCCCTGAACGGACCTATACGAGGCTAAGGAGTAATAGCTGGGGAGGCCATGTCTTCCTCGTCCGAAGATGCAACCGCATCGATGCGCATGCGTTTGGTCCCCATTTGAATACCTCCCTGATCTTCGTCAGAATCCGGATCACTCAGATGCAAGGGTCGAAATTTACGATGCAGAGTCATCTTCCTTCGGTTTCGTTCACGCTTCTTCTCCAAATCTTGTGTTTGTTGTCCCGGACCCCATCTCCTCGATAGCTGCATGTCAATGATTCTGGTCACTCTCATATCGTTTTGTTGCTTCTCCCGTTCCTTCTTTTCACGCTTTCGTTTCTCTTTTTCCTCTTTCTCCAGCGCTTCTCGACATTGTTTCTTCCGCTCCTCCTTCTCCTTATGTTTTTGTTCCTTGGCAGCCTCCTTCGCCAAAAGCATCGCCATCAATTTCCCCGCTGAATCCTTCTCCTTGGGGGGTTCATATCTCGCGATGTATCAGTCAGCCGATGGCGATCTGCGTGGCGGTTCGCAACCATTCCACCGAGGAGAAGTAAACCGCGTTCGAGATGCTTCATGTCTTGTAGTTTCGACAGGTCTCCCTTCCACTTCTTGGTCTTGACGACGGTTGGCTTTCTCCTTTTCCTCCTTCCAGAACAATCCACAATCACGTGTGTAATGTCCATAGTATTTACAAGAGTAGCACTGTGGGGCATTACGACGTCCGCCTCGCGTTCCTTCACTGCCCTCTTCGCTCGGAGGTTGCTGGCTTGATGACGCTATGATGGAAGGCTCTCCAATCGCAGCGGAGATTAAGGTGCGAGAATCAAACTTCCTCGGATATCAGACTTCCTCGAACATTTGAGGTCTTGACCACCAAAACGGAGCAGCAACCCTCCGGCGGTTATCAAGTGCTTGCGCAAGGGCAAAAGGGTGCTCAGCACACAAAGCATGATGAGCACAGTCTCTCAAAGTAGCAACAGTAGAAACCCGCAGTACGGGATGTGAGATAGAAAATATCCCCATCACGTCCGTCGCATCCCACCACCCCACCTTCTGACCGTCAACCCCAAGAACCACCGTTCTCACCGAAAAAAACTTGGCGGCGGTCATCCTCAGACACGACCCTCGCATCATAAGAAACTCACAAAAAACAATTCAAAAAAAAAAACATCCTTCTAGGCCCCAAAATAATTTTTGGCAGGCGCCAAACGCCCTGTTCTGACCCCGATAAGGATCTTGAATGCTCGTACATACGAAGGTCGTCCCGGGTACCTCCGTACGTACAGGTTGGTGACCCTATATATATATATAGATGTATATATATATATATATATATGAGTCGGTGAAACTCCGACGAAACAGTTTGTCACAGCCCCTCATTTGTTGTCCTCTTCTCTCTCTCTGCCTACGGTTTACCGGGCAGTTCTGTTTGTGACGATATATATATATATCCTAATCGTAAAAGTGTGCTACTATACAAAATTCATTTTTATTTCAACAGAAAAAAATCATAGAATTAAA